GATCTGATGACTCGCTGGTGAGGCGACCTGCTTGATCCCCGCACCGCACTACGCGGCGCTAGCGCAGCAAACGGCCACTCCGGCACGCGCTTAGGCCGGGAGGCCGGCCCATTACGGGGTGGGGCGCCCCTGTTTATTTCTTTCGTTTTCTTTTGTGTTTTATTTGTTGCTTCATTAAAAATGATCGGCATGTCAAAAAAGATTCTAAATTAAAAAAACGATTCACGTATTTGCAAAAGAAAAATCATGATCTAAAAATGTTCCAAATTTGAAAAATGTTTTCGGGTTAATAAATGTTCCAAAATTTTAAAAGTGATCACAGAATTTAAAAAAATCGCGATATTTTAAAATATTCCAAAATTTTAAAAATGTTCGCATATTTGAATAATGTTCATGGATTTGAATAATGTTCCCGGATTTCAAAAAAATTTCATCAATTTCAAGAAAAAATGTGAATTCAGAAAACTGTTCACCAATTTCAAAAAACGTTGACCGGTTTTTAAAAATATTCATGAACTCCAAACATGTTCCCAGATTAAATAAAATGGCGTCAATTCAAAAAATATTTGTGTATTTCAAAAATTGCTCCCGAATTTAAAAAAATGTGACAGATTTTAAAAAATGTTAACAAATTTGAAAATATTCTTGGATTTTAAAAAATGTTCATGAATTTGAAAATTGACCCATATTTTAATAAAAGTTCACAAATTTGAAAAATTATGCATGATTTTTAAAAAATTACATGAATTTGAAAAAAAAACCTGGATTTGGAAAACTTCATGAATTCTAAAAATTTCCAGAGTTTGAAAAAAGTTCATGGATTTCAAAAAGGGAAAACAAAAACAAAAAAGGGGGAAAATCCGAATAAAAACAAAGAAAAAGGAAAACCTAGTTTGAAGAAGGTTCTAGAACCTTCCCAAAACCGTTGGGGGAGAAAATCAGAATGGGCCGACCCATAGAGAGGATGGTGAGCAAGGTGGGGATGGGAGGGATATTCTACACATGCGGATAATATAGAATCAAAAAAATGCGGGTGTGGGTGGGTATGCAGCTATACGCGAAATAGGAAACGCCCAGCAAAGCGCCGTGACGTGAGACCTGGCCATATGGGGCGGCACGGCCCGACACACCAATATAAAGGCTTGGCATGCCACGGCCCACGTCGAACCTTTTATAATAGGGTCATGTCGTGCCAGTCCAAAGGCCTCGACTCGAGGATCGGCTGGGACCAACTAGTTAACGAGCGCTCTTTCGCGAGCCTCGCAACAATCAGCGTCACTTGGCGCGTTCTCAGCTATTCTTCACGTGTCGCGTTCTGGACGTTTCCTTTGAATTTTATTTTTTTATTTTTCCGCACGCGTTTTCGGTTTTTTAAACGGTTTTTTTCAGGTTTGTTCGATGTTTTGGTTTTTCCCCGGTCTTTCTTAGCTTTTCAATAAAAAAATATAAAAAAAATTGTGCGAAAGAAACGCATTTTCTTTTTTTTCTTTCGTGAAAGTCACGGTTTTTTTCTGCGAGAGGCATACTTGTGCTTTAGCGACAGTCACGGCCGTGCCTTTCGGAAATGAAAAAAAACGTGTTTTCTGGTTTTTTTTCTTTCGTGAGAGTCACGGTTTTGCTTCCGCGAGAGGCACGGTTGTGCTTTCGCGAGAGTCACGGCCGTGCCTGTCGGAAAGGGAAAAATAAAACGCATTTTTTGTTTTTTTTTCTTTCGCGAGAGTCACGGTTTTGCTTCCGAGAGAGGCATGGTTGTGCTTTCGCGAGAGTCACGGCCGTGCCTCTCAGAAAGGGAAAAAATACGTGTTTTTTATTTTTTTTCGCGAGAGTCACGGTTTATCTTTCGCAAGAGGCATGGTTGTGCTTTCACGAAAGTCACGGCCGTGCCTCTCGGAAACGAAAAAAACGCGTTTTCAGTTTTTTTTTCCTTCCACAAGAGTCACGGTTTTGTTTCCACGAGAGGCATGGGTGTGATTTTGCGAGAGCCACGGGTGTGCCTCTTTCGGAGAGGGAAAAAACCGTGCTCCTGGTTCGGTTTTTTCGTCCGATTTTTTTCATGAAAAAAGTCGTCAAAACCTATGAACATGGGATCTAGTTTTGAATATCTCGACGCGAGGAATCCAATGATGAAAACGGTTTGAGATTTGGACGCACGGTTTAAAAGATAAAGCGTTTTGAATAAACGAATCTACAAAAAAAGGAAAAACTCCCAGGTTGCAACAAGTGGCACGCTGCATGTGTGCCACTTGTCGCGACCTAGGAAAGTGAAGTGTTTTTTGCAACGAGTACTCTTTAATTAGTGATTTCGGGATCGGCTTGGCAGACGCCAAAAAAAGGCCGGCACGGTCCGGCATGCCTGTGGACCGGCCTTTGTTCATTTTTTTCGGCCCTTGTGAGCCGTTTCGGCCTTCTAGGCCTTTTGTTTTTTAGGTTTGAAGGCCAAAAAAGCCTTCTGGGCCTACTTGGGCCGCATGCCGCCACGTGCCGAGATGTGTCGTGCCGACCCATGAATAAAAGGGACGTGCCGGGCTGGCCTTAAGGCCTGGCTTCAGGGATCGGCATTCCCTAAACGGCGCCCGTTGTGCCCGCTACAGGCAACCGCGCAAAGGGCGCACACCTCTCCCTCCTTCACGCGTCTTCTTGGGCCGGCCCATCGTTCCTTTTTTTCTGTTGTAAAGAAAAAAAAATGCAAATGCGTTGTGTGGAAATCGAACCCACGGCTTCCTCTTCTTTCGCACCATACGCTAACCACCGCACCACCGTTACCTTATGTGTTCAAAACTATCTTCTTCACTCTTTTCTTCTCATGTCTTTTTTTTTCATTTTTCTTGTTTATTCGAAAGGGTTTTGTTTGTTTGTTTTTTCTTTTCTTCATTTCAATAAACTACTTTTCAAATTAATGAACTTTTCCAAAATCGATGAACGTTTTTCGAAATCGAAGAACTTTGTTCCAAATTCGATGAACATTTTTTTGAATTGGATGAACATTTTTTTGAATTGGATGAACTTTTTTCCAAACTTGATGAAATTTTTTCAAATTCAATGAACTTTTCTTGAATTCGATGAACTTTTTTCCAAAATCGATGAACTCTTTTTCAAATTTGATGAAGCTTTTTCGAATTTGATGAACTCTTTTCCAAAATCGATGAACTTTTTTCAAATTCGATGAAGTTTTTTTCAAATTCAATGAACTCTTTTCCAAAATTGATGAATGTTTTTCAAATTTGTGAACTAATTTTCAAAATTGATTTTTGTAAACTTTTTAAAAATCGATGAACTTTTCTGCAATTGATAAACTCTTTTTGAGAATTGATGAATTTTTTTTGAAAATTGATAAGCTCTTTTTGAGAATAGATGAAGTTTTTGTTCAAAATCAATGAACTTTTTTCAGATTTTCTGGAAAGTTTTTAAAAATCGATGAACCTTTTCAGATTTTTGTGAACTTTTTGGAAAATTGATGAATTTTTTCGAAAATCTGTGGACTTCCGAGAAAAAAAACACATTTTTGTCAAAAGAAATCACGCTTTTCTAAAATGTTTTCATATAATTTAAATATCTACGCAGCTACTGTTCTTATGTATCGTCGCGCTGCAATGTTTCATATATTTGTAGTAGCTCGAGTGGTCGGCCAACAACTTACTGGAGGTATTGATTGTGAGTTCGATTCCACGTGCAGCGCCACTTATGTCCGAGTTTTCTTTTTTCGCGCTACTACCTGTGTGTTCGTGGGCCTGGCCCATACAAGCAGGCGTGTGTTAGGAGCTCCCTCAGGGATCGGCTTTGTTCCATGGCGTCCCGGCCCTTTTATTCACGTATTGTGCCAGGCCAAAAATCCGTGCCCACGGGCAGCGCCTTAGAAGCACGGTCCATATGGCCAGGTCTGGATATGACTTGACACAAAAATCTGGCAGCAATCTGCGGGCCAAAGAGTAGAACCTGAATGTGTCTGAAGACCCCCATTGGCCATTGGGCTTGGTTGCTTCTTTCAACGAGCCCGCTCCCAAGGTAAAGAAACCCTCACAAGAAAAAGAAAAAAAAAGAGCAGCATAATAACCTTTCAGCATAATTGCCAGTGAATCAAGAGAACAAATGGATGAGCAACAAGAGGGAACAGAAAGAAACCCGAGGAATCTCCAAACAATGCTGTCAATTTGTACAAACAAACGCCATGACCTCAAAAAAGAAAATCTAACTATGAATCTTATTCAAAACCAAGCACAGCCAATTGAAAGACAAAATCCAAAATTAATTTCAATGCAAAACGAAATTCAATGGGACTATTGTACAATGCATATATGCAGTTGCCTGTGGACCCTGGCCACTGTTCTTATTGACCAAAATATACATCCAGTGAAATGAAAAGAAAAAACAATGTCACTTGACATTCCAATCAGAATTATTGCATGACAAGTAAAAGAGACACTTGCCTTCCATTTTGTAGCGCTGCACTATTGTTGCTCCAGGTATAATTGCACCGATAGTTTCTACTGTCATGCTCTCAGAAGGATCAGAACCTCCAGGCTCCAGGAACACATGATCCAGCTTTATGACCATCCTGAGCAGATATTTAATTATTAATAAAGGCATATATATTGACAAGAGATGAAAGATGGGACAACGACAACCAGATAATTAGTTGTAGAGAAAACCAAATCTTGTATTTCAGCGCTGTCCACAAATATTCATATCATACAGAATGCATATCCTGAACTTCAGAATTCTACTGAAAAATGCTAGTCCGTCACTTATAGAAGGCAATGATTTGTTTGAGAATCAGAGTGAATGCATATATTTTTGAGGATCAGAGATCCAGCGAATTTTATGATTTCCAGAGTACAGGTCGGATTGGTACAGACTAGTTGAAACTCAAAACAGCCAATTCAATAGCCCATCCCTCAGTTGAGTAGACCAAAACCTGCTGACTTAAAAAATTCCATGAACCAAGTATACAGATCTTGTTCCCCACAGCAGATGGAAAAGATACACACAGTTGAGTGCTCTCATCACCAATAATCTCCACAGGAGCATTTGCCATCTCTGAAATGGTGAAAGCGGCTTACATCTCTGACCACAATCTCTCGGCCAGTGACCTGGGACATCAACTTGATAGCAACATGGCAGTCATCGCACACACGTAGATTCTTCATTATTCGGATAGAAACTCCTTCAGGTAAACTCAGAAACGCAAATGCTATCGCCAATTTCTCGCTGTGGTGAGTTAAACTAACCTCTTTCTCCTCATCCTCCATATCATGGAACACCATGCTCATGTCTGGTGCATATCCACATTGCCTGATCTTGGCCATCATTTCTTCCAAGTACTCATCGATCTCTCCTTGTCTTGGATGAGATTTATCTCCTGTGCAAAACTGATGCACCTGACCCTTAAGCTCTACCCAGCTGACACCCGGTTCCTTTCTCACGTTCTTCTCCCTCATGTTTTTCCTTAGCTCACTGACATCTCCCCATCTCCTGCTGGTAGCTCGAATATTTGATAGCAGAACATAAGGTGCAGAATCTCGAGGGTCAAACTCAATGACTCGCTCTGCTATCCGCTCGGCCATGTCAAAATTCTTCTGGGTCTTACAAGCAGATAGCAGTGTCTTCCATATGACCCCGTCAGCACGTACAGGCATTGAACAGATAAGGGCCTCTGCTTCATCCAGACAACCTGATCGCCCAAGAAGATCCACGATACAAGTGTAGTGTTTCACACTTGGTTGCAATCCATAAGTCTTGGTCATAAGCTCAAAGAACTCCAAGCCTTCATCTTTAAGACCACTATGGCTGCACGCATATAGCAGGGACAAGAAAGTAACCTCATTAGGTCTTGCCCCTGCATTCATCATCTGTTTAAACAGCTCAACTGCTTTATGTCCTTGCCCATGGAACCCACAAGCTGAGATCATTGCACTGAGAAGAAAAAGATCTGATCCACAATAACCAGAATAAACTCTTTCCGAGTCACCCAAGCATCCACATCGAGAGTACATATGCACAAGGCAAGTAATGACTGGAACAACCTTGTCAACTCCAGCCTTGATAACCTGTGCATGAACTTGCTGACCTTGTGCGAGAGCTGCCAAGTCTGAGCAGCAGGTAATAATACTGACGAATGTGACCACGTCAGCCGCTAGCCCAATACCTCTCATCATGGAGAAATACACCAATGCTCCCTCAGAATCTCCATGCTGCGCCCTACCAGCGATTGTGGTATTGAATGACACAACTGTAAGAGAAGGAAGAGCTTTGAGAACGGCCTCTCCTTCTGCAAGGCACCCACAGCGCATGTACATGTGAGCCAACGAGTTCCCAACACACATGTCAATGTCCATCCCACACCTGACAACATATGCATGGACCTGGCGCCCAGAGACAAGATCGGAGAGGCCGGCACAGCACCTGAACACGCTCCCAAGGCCAAACTCATCAGGATGCAATCCCTCCCTTCGCATGGCCAGGAAGAACCCCAGGCTATCCTCGTCAAGCCCTGCATTGGTGAGCCCAGCGACCATGGCATTCCAGGTGGCGACATTCCTCGTGGGCATTTCGTCAAACAGCTTCCGAGCGCTTCCAAGGTCGCCGTTCTTGATGTAACCCCCAATCAGAATGTTCCAGGACATGACGTTCAGCTTCGGAATTCTCTCGAACAGGCTGCACGCAGTGGGGAGGTCGCCGAGGTCCGCGTAGGCGAGCATGAGGTTGTTGGTGGTGAAGCGGTCGGCGGCGGCGCCAGAGGTGGCGGCAAAGGCGTGGAGCTGGCGGAGGAGCGGGATGGCGCGGCAGGCCCGGCAGACGTGGGCGAAGAGGGTAGGGTCCGACCAGAGGACGTTCCGGAAGGGGTGGTGGAGGGCATCCTTGAGGCGGCCGCTTGAGCAGAGACGGATGAACTCGCCCTTGGCTTCCGGTGGCCCGGCGGTGAGCGTCTTCACCGCCGGCCTGGCCATGTGCATGTGGCCGTGCGACCGCTCGCGCTACGCCCCCGGAAGCATGGCGAATTTGGGTTTACCGCGACTGGCAATGCAACAAGTCGAACACCTCGACGACATGAACGTGTAGCAATAGGCCTTGGATTTGTATAAAAAACTTTCTTTCAACAATACAAGACATGTCAAAAACACATGAAAATTACAACAAGGAGCAAAAAAAAAAATGAATATCCAGCATAAGCTGAAGGCGCACCTGTACGATTGATAAACTGGGCGGCTTGATGCCTGCCTCGGTTCAGCCCCTTCATATATATAATGTACAGGAGAGTTACAGAGTTTGGTATAAATACAATGAGGTTGTAATAAGGAAACTATCTATTTGGTGGGAGTTTAACTTGCACGCCAAGGTTATCATGAGCCGTGGCACAGTAGGTCTCTAACACGCCCCCGCAGTCTGAGCCGGGAACGGCAGTGACGTGAAAACTGGACCAAAAATCGCGGAAGAGAGCTGTAGGTAAACCATTGGTGAAGATGTCCGCAAATTGCAGGGTTGACGGAACATGAAGAACACGAACTGCTCCGAGGGCGACCTTCTCCTGGACAAAATGAATGTCTAACTCGATATGTTTCGTGCAACGATGTTGTACCGGGTTAGCTGACAAGTATACCGCACTTACGTTGTCGCAATATACGATAGTAGCAGTCGAGATGGGCCTGTGAAGCTCCTGTAATAACTGACGAACCCGGCAAGACCTGCAAAGGCCGCAGCAACAGCTCTGTACTCGGCCTCTGCGCTAGATCGAGAGACTGCCGTCTGTCGTCGGGCGGACCAGTAGACGAGATTATCTCCAAGATACATGCAAAATCCCGAAGTGGAGCGACGTGTATCCGGGCATCTAGCCCAATCGGCATCTGAGTAGGCGGTAAGAGAATGTGTAGCAGTGCGGTGTAAAGAGAGACCATGATCAAGGGTGCCATTAAGGTAGCGAAGGATGCGTTTAATGAGAGAAAAGTGAGGTTCACGAGGATCATGCATATGAAGGCAGACTTGCTGGACAGCGTAAGCAATGTCTGGGCGAGTGAGAGTAGCATATTGGAGTGCACCGGCAAGGCTACGATAGAGAGAGGGATCCGAGACCGGAGGACCGGTAGAGGAAGGAAGTTTGGCGTTAGTATCAATAGGGGTAGTAACTGAGTGATAGTCGCGCATGCCAGCACGAGATAAGACGTCAAGGATATATTGCCGTTGAGAAAGATGAAGACCAGAAGCCGAACGAGTAGCTGAAATACCGAGAAAGTGATGAATGGGACCAAGGTCCTTCATGGCAATCTCACGAGCCATGGAATTGATGATGGTAGTGAGGAAAGATAAGGAGGATGCGGTGAGAACAATATCATCAACATAGAGAAGAAGATAGGCCGTGGAAGGACCTTGATGAAAGATGAAAAGAGAAGCATCGGATTTTGATTCGATGAACCCGATGGAACGAGCGAAGGATGCAAAGCGTTGGAACCAGGCACGGGGCGCCTGTTTGAGCCCATATAAGGATTTGAGGAGACGACAAACGTGAGTGGGATGACGAGAATCAATGAAACCAGATGGTTGCTGGCTATAGACTACCTCATCAAGATGACCATGAAGGAAGGCATTTTTTACATCAAGTTGGTGGATAGGCCAAGACTGTGAGATGGCTAGAGAAAGAACAATACGAATAGTGGCCGGTTTGACAACAGGGCTAAATGTTTCATCAAAATCAACCCCTGTTTGTTGAGAGAAGCCACGAACAACCCAACGAGCTTTGTGACGTGAGAGAGAGCCATCGACATTATATTTATGACGGAAGATCCACTTTCCACTCACTATATTTGCGCCAGATGGAGGAGGAACCAAGACCCATGTTTTATTTAGTGTAAGAGCATCAAACTCCTCCTGCATGGCTTGGCGCCAATTGGAGTCCCGAAGGGCTATGAGATAGTTATGAGGAAGAGGGGAAGAGGCTAGGGTCGAAAGGTTGAGGCGATCAATGGGTGGTGGAAGACGACCGGTAGTGGCACGTGTGTGATGAAGAGGTGCAGGAGGTGGTGCCGGCGGAGCCGGGGACGAATATGTGGTAGGCGGGGTGGCCGGAGTGGCAGGGGCAGTAGCCGGCATGGCAGGAGGGGTAGCCGACGTGAGTGGTGTAGGTGGCGTGGAGGGGGAGGGAGGGTCCAGCGTGGGAGAGTGGGGACTAGGGGGTGCATGCATCGTGGGTATGGTTGTAGTACGTGCATGCATCGTGGGTATGGTTGTAGTACGTGCATGCATATCAGATGCAGATGGAGAAGAAGTATGTATAATGGGTGGATCAAAAATTTCAGTGCAACGGGGTGGAGTAGGGGATGGTGATGGTTCATATGGAAAAGTGGATTCGTCGAAAACGACGTGGCGAGAAATAATGATACGACGGGTGGTGAGATCAAGACATCGATAACCTTTGTGTCGAGGGGGATACCCAAGGAAGACACATTTTGTGGAACGTGGAGAGAGTTTGTTAGCGGATGTAGAGGTGGTATTTGGATAACATAGGCAACCAAAGACACAGAGGTTTTTGTATGGTGGTGTAGTACCTAAGAGTAAAGTATATGGGGTGAAGAAAATTGGTAGACGAAGTGGGACGAATATTGATGAGGAAGGTGGCAGTGTGAAGAGCTTTGGCCCAAAAAGATGGTGGGAGAGAGGCTTGGATGAGAAGGGTTGAAAGATCGTGGATGTCGCCTAGAGGGAGGGTGAGTAGGCGCCTTAAAATAATTACGGTTTTAGCCTTGAACAAATGCGGAATAAACCTAGCGGTTAATTTGACAAGCACAAAACCTACAAGAACTAGGCTCACCTATGTGCACCAACAACTTATGCTAAGCAAGATAAACAACTAAGTGATAGCAAGATATATGACAAGAAACAATATGGCTATCACAAAGTAAAGCGCATAAGTAAAGGGCTCGGGTAAGAGATAACCGAGGCACGTGGAGACGATGATGTATCCGAAGTTCACAACCTTGCGGATGCTAATCTCCGTTTGGAGCGGTGTGGAGGCACAATGCTCCCCAAGAAGCCACTAGGGCCACCGTAATCTCCTCACGCCCTCGCACAATGCAAGATGCTGTGATTCCACTAAGGGACCCTTGAGGGCGGTCACCGAACCCATACAAATGGCAACCCTTGGGGGCGGTCGCCGAACCCGTACACTTTGGCAACCCTTGGGGGCGGTCACCGGTACCCGTCAAATTGCTCGGGGCGATCTCCACAACCTAATTGGAGACCCCGATGCTTACCCAGAGCTTTACACCACAATGATTGAGCTCTGAACATCAGAAAGGTTGGGGTTCACTCCCCAATGACACCATGAAACTTCACCACAATAAATATGGCTCCGAGGTGACCTCAACCGTCTAGGTCGCCCAAGCACCCAAGAGGAACAAGATCAAGGGTACCAAGCACCCAAGATTAATAAGCTTCTCAACTAGTAACTTCCACGTATCACCATGGAGAACTCAAACCGATGCACCAAATGCAATGGCAAGGGCACACGGAGTGCCCAAGTCCTTCTCTCTCAAATCCCACCGAAGCAACTAATGCTAGGGAAGAAAATGAGATGAAGAACAAGAAAGAGAACACCAAGAACTCCAAGATCTAGATCCAAAGGGTTCCCTTCACATAGAGGAGAAAGTGATTGGTGGAAATGTGGATCTAGATCTCCTCTCTCTTTTCCCTCAAAAACTAGCAAGAATCCATGGAGGGATTGAGAGTTAGCAAGCTCAAAGAAGGTCAACAATGGGGGAAGAACGCGAGCTAAAGAGATCAGGTTCAATGGGGAAGAAGACCCCCTTTTATAGGTGGGGAAAAATCCAACCGTTATGCTCACAGCCCGCACAGAGCGGTACTACCGCTCCAAGGAGCGGTACTACCGCTAGGGCGGAAGAACCCCTTTGAAAAACAACAGCGAGGAGGCAAAAGGCCAGTAGAACCGCCAGAGCGGTATTACTGCTCTACCTCACGGTACTACCGCTAGGGATAGCGGTACTACCGCAAATGGTAGCGGTACTACTGCTTGCGAGCAGTACAAAAAAAATACTTCCGTGCCTACTTCCACTGAGCAAAACACGAGATTTTGGTCCGGAGCGGTACTACCGCTCAGGAGCCGCGGTAGTACAGCTCGGGAGCGGTACTACCGCTCAGGAGCCGCGGTAGTACCTCTCTAGAGCAGTAGTAAAAAATTACATCCGCTCTAGCCGCGGTAGTACCGCTGCAGCCTTTACCAAAACAGCCACAACTTCTGCAAACGGACTCTGAATTCAACGAAACCAAATTTGTTGGAAAGCTAACGACATGGGCTAACACAATCTTGATAGAAATATCAATAAGAGGCAAATGAGAAAAGGCCCAAAAGAAAATGGTGAGAACCCTTTCTAGGAAAAGACCTGTAAAACCTCCAACACCGAAAACATCATAGAAGATGCATGCGAACTCCGTTTTCGATGAACTCAAGCTTGTCATCAAGATGACCATAAGCTCTAAGACTCACAAAGATAACCAACCAAGAACCAAGAAATATGATGCAAGGATGCAATGGTTTGAGCTCTCTACGAATGATACGATCAAGCTACTCATCGAGAGCCCCCCTTGATAGTACGGCAATCGATCCTATAACCTGGTCTCCCAACTACCATCATGAGACTGGTAAAATAGAAAACCTATCAAGGGTAAACCTTTTCCTTGCACATGATCCACTTGAGCTAGATGATGACGATCTTGACTCCCTCAAGTTGGACCACCTTTCTTGATTGCGTTGGCTCGATGAAGACTAGTTGATTGCTCCCCCATACTTCACTATGTGTGAGCCACTCTTCCGCACATCTTCACAAGTCCATTGTCACCACAATGGATGGCAAACTTCAAGCATTTGATCTCTTCGTGATGCTTCACTTGAATTTGCACACCGCAACCTAACCCCACAAAGAACTCTCACGAAGACCATGGGTTAGTA